TCAAAAATATTTCATTCCAGGCCTTACTAACAATAAATGGAAATATTGGAGCAGAAAATTTCTGAGGAATGTTTAAATGCTAGGATGCAGATACATTTGCCATCTCTCCAGTGGTATAGCTATATATTATGTACCCTGGACATAATAGAATCAGTGCACCACCTTGTTCCTTGAAGGAGGTCTGGTGAAATTTATTTTGGACATTTAATTTAAAAATCTATATTTAATTATTTTGATTTTAAAACCTTACTTAATAACAATTTATTTGAGATTTGAGGCATTTCAACAATAAGATATTCAATTTAATAAATACAAAAATAATAATAAAATGTAATTCTTTAAGTACAGAATACATAAGAATATTTACTACATATTATATAAACTGTATTGACAAAATGTATGCAAGTTTAGTTTCGTAACAAATATAGAATAATACATAAAAATCTTCAATATTGTTGTTTTCTCGCTTTTTCGCTTGCAAATCGATCAATCACTTTCTCCAGATCAAGTTGACAAGCTATAGTTTTTTTCAATTGATATAGTAGCCAAAGCTAAGACGGTGTTGTGTTTGTTTCATTAAGTTATGGCAATGCAACACTTGGTGATCTGCCTAGGGAGATGCATTCCAGGAAGTCTTTTTAAGGGTAACTCACCCCTATTCAAACATTACAGATGTGGAGAAACTCCATATAGCCAGCCCATTCATATGAGGCTGGCTATATGAACCCACGACTGAACTCCCAGTGTTCAGGGAACAAAACCACTTGGCAATCATGCTGCTTCTTAAATAAGTTTTGATTAATTCTAGTTTTGAAAAATTTTGTTCTGCTGTCACTGTCATTGCTGGTAAAGTTAAAAAAATGAGGCATGCTGCAATAATGTTGGAGAAGCTACTTGAGGCTGTAGTGTGAATTAAAAGTAGTTTGGCAACTTCGCATATAGAAGTAATTTCTTTTACCTGAATATAAAAACACATGTTAAATCAAAGCAATTGAGATCCAAAACTAGGCGAAATATTGGAGGGATATGCTGATTGTAACAATTCTGATCCTTCCAGAATACTTCTATCAAATGATGCAACAAGATATGTGGGTGATAAGCACTTAGAAAGTGTACATAATTGTCGAACAAATTCAAATCTAATAGTTAATTGATTAATTATTAAATCCAAAAAAATTTGTTTACAAATAGTTTTACAAGTTATTATTTTGCTCTTTCTAATTTGGTGCCCTCACAATTTGTGCACTTGGAACTGCTCTACAGTAGCTATGCCTCTGAATCTCTTGAAAGTACCTTGATTAACAATATAGGCCTACTGTATAACAAGCTTGCAAAGTTTTAAATAATTTTTTTATTTAAAGTAATTATTCTATAAACTGGAGAGAATGCCAGAAATAAAAATCTACATCTTAAAATATGCTCCACAAACATATGTTAATGAAATAAAAACATTTTCACCCTAAATTCGTAGGTGTTCATCAATTGAGCATTTGAATGTATTTGAAATTTTGAATGTTCTGATGAAGATCTACAAACTTAGGTCAAAAATATTTTGTTTCATTAATATTTGTTTCTGGAGCATATTTTAAGGTGTGGATTGTTATTATTTTATTATGTTTTTATTTTATCTTTTCATCATTGTAATATGTTTATTATTATTCTTTAATATTTTGTTAATTTCATTTAAATTTGCTTGCTGTATTTGAGCATTTCAAATTTTATATTCCAGTTGGAATGGTCAATTGAATTTATTAATTTGTTAATGAAGAATCCTGACAATGGTCTATAAATTAGACAAATGTTAGACTCAAATATTTTTTCATGGTGTAAAGCTATTGTTTGAGTAAATTCATTGGTAAACAAAAAAAATTATACTTATTATAGAAGTGTTTCCTTTCAATTAGATAATCAGATGAATTATTTTTATTAGTTCCAAATGATATTGTTCTTGCTTTAAGTTAGGCGATTCCTTAATTTTCTCTTCTAAACTTAATTTATAACCTCTCAATTTCTATTTCTAAAATTGCTTAATTAGATAAATGTGTTTGTTTCATTGAGTTTTTAAGTAGTTTTAACTAATTTTAATTTAAAAAATGTTCATTCAGCATTTGTAGTTGAAATAGGAAGCATCAGAAACAAAATTAGATCTGTTTGAGTTAAAATATGTACACAAAATAATTCTTAATAAATCAAAATCAAATTTTATATATGTTATTTACATTATCTATTTCATTTTTAACATGTTTAGAAAAACATCAATAATAATAATGATAGAATAATGATAGAATAATAATTTAGAAGATTTTCATCAACAATTGTTGATGAAAATCTTCTAAATTAAATTTAGACAAGGAAATTAAGTTAATTGTTTAACTTAAAGCAAGAACAATTCATGTCGGTTTTTATTAATCACTTAACTGTAATTTCTATATTATACTGTATGCTAATGCCTAATTTTATAAACTTTTACTAAGAATGTAAAATATTGAATGAAATTATAGTTTTATGGGCATCTATTATACTAAATGAAATATGAAATACATATAATATTACTTTTGTAATAGTTGCTATGGTTGGAATGATTTAATATCTTTTCTTTCTTCTTAACAGCAATATTAAAATTAGTCTACTTTATTGCTTACTTACAATATAATTAATAAACCATTAGTTATTAGAACAACTTATAAACTCTCTCATAGTTCAATTACTTGTATTCAAAGGGTTACCTTTTATAATGAAATGGCAAGCATCATAATACATTTATATATTTTAAAAGAACTCTGATAAGGATTTTAACTACTAAATACTGTTATCCATTACTAACAAATAAACAGAAACGAAACTAAGGTGTTTATGTAAATTTAGTTTACATTAGTGTTACCACCCGTCCGGTTTTCACTTGGACAGTCCGGGAATTGACTCACTGTCTGGGTGAACTATTATTTTTGTCCAGGAATTTCATAGAAATTATGAAATTATGATGAAACAAAGTTCTTGCAAATATTTTTACAAATTTACACTATTTTAACAGCGAAAGAACTCACACTCACTGAAGCTCATATGCAATTCTGCCATGTTAGTCGGTCTGTTTACACCAACGTGTGGCGCACAACCTGTCGACTTTTTTTCTTTGTTTTTTGCGTGTACAATCATACACATCTCTCCAATGTCCAATAGAGCTAAGTCATCTGTACCTGTTCTTTCTTAATTTAGATTACGCTTACACAAGTCCCTAGTCCCTAACTGTAACTGATTTAGAACTGCCATGCACATTATTCTTTGCATTGTAAAATGACATTGCACATGTGTCAGGAACTTCTATTCGAACAAACCTGACCTGCCGTCCGGATCAGCAATTTTCAAAAGGTGGCAACACTAGTTTACATCAACATAATTATTAAATAAATATGAATTAAATATTAGAGTATGGAATAATATGTAAAAAAATTATTCCATATTTTAACGATTGAAATAACAATGAAATAAAATTAAGAACAATTTTTGTATAAAGTGAATACTACTGTAGGCCTAGTTGTTCTCAATAAACTGTTTTTTTTATAAAGAAATTTCCATCTATTAACTGAGGATCAATGAAACTTCTATATTAGAAGCATTGATCGACATTTTGTGTAAGTTTTTTTCTATTTTAATATTTTATTAAAGAATTACTAATGAAGTTAATTTGTAAAGAATAACAAAATATTCAATTGTTTGTTTGCAAAGCTGGGAAGGAATATAAGAAAATAAAATTACTAGGTAATATGCACAAATATTTAACACAAAATAAATAAATTATCTTTACAATGTATCAATTGGAAGTTCTATTTTTAGAACATGATTTTATTTGTTTTATTTCTTTTGGAAATATAATATTCAGTTAATAATCCTTTACTACATATTATAGTTCCAAAATGTGAAAATGGATGACAGAAATCATCAACAGAAACATAAGCTAAAAATTGCTATTCTTTTGTCTTTCTATATCAAATGTACAGTACATACAGAAAATGGAAAGTTGAAATATATGCCATCTGATAAAAAATGGCACTTGAGAATTTTTTCTGTTTTTGTTATTAAAAAACATCAAAAAGAAAAATTTGGGTGAAAAAAATATTTTGAAATAGAGCAAAGTTATGGATATCAAATACTTTATTGGTAGCATTTGAATCCAAATTATAATTGCATGATTACAAGTATTTCTTGCTGCAAATGTATGAATTTGATCAGTTGATGTTTAATTTGGATGATAAATAGAATAAACTACACTTTCTAGGTAACCTGATTGGTATAGTTTCAAATGCTAGCATCCTCTGTGATATTTATGATGCCATTGCTAAACAGTATAATTTTTATCATTATGCTTCTGCAACGGTAGAAACTGAAAATTTTCAACTTTGTATTTTATTGACTTTCTGTCAGTTTCAACAATAAAAATGAAATAATTTTAGTTTTTTTGTCATCTGTCTCCATGCACATACTAGCCTCCTTTCAAATGATAGTTAAAGTTAAACATCATCTACTGTGAAGAGAGAACTTTTATTTCCTTAAAGATTTATGTATGTATGTTCAAAGTGATGCTTAGATGCCAAGTATCACAGTCTTGTATCTACAAATATACACAAGTTTACTGTGCATATTTGTAGGATTTACTGTGGTATTAAAAGTCTACAGGATCAATTGGTTTATTTATCATAATAACTTTTAATATGTTACAAAAAGAAATTAAAAGGTGTTTAACTTTATTTCCTTAATTTATTTAAAGAAACCAAAGTTTAATTAATGAATAAATTGTTTTGGACTTTATTTGGACCAACTTCAGCTCATAATAACATTTGAAACTAACACAGGATACATGCAAATTGTATTGTGAGCTGAAGTTGTCCAAAAATGTTTTTACATTGGTTTTGTTAAATAACTGTACTTTTTACTTATAATGTACAAAATGGTACCAAAACTTACATATATTTTTGATAACTTTTAATACAAATCAATATTTTCAGATTTAAAAACATTAAGGAAAATGGCTGAAGGTGGTGAAGCAAGTGAGGAATTGAAAGTATGTAGTTACGAGGAAAAGGAAGAAGAGGTTGAACCAAAATTGAGATATGAACCTTTGCAGAATGATTTAGCTAAAATATTAGAGAAAGATGGAGCAAGTTGCATAGCTGTTCACACAAAATTTATGGCATTAGGTACATTTAATGGATTTGTTTACATCTTGGATCATCATGGAAACAATATTCGCAATAAAGAATTAGCTTTGCATACAAAAACAGTCAACCAGATTAGCATTGATATAAATGGTGATTTTATTGCTACTTGTTCTAATGATGAAAGAATTGTAATTCAGGGTTTATATTCTTCAGAAAATAATTTAATATTGTCATTCAATCAACCAGTGCTTTCTATTGCAATCGATCCAAATTTTGCCAAACCTGGATCTAAAAAGCGTTTCATTACAGGAAATAATAAAGTCCTATTATATGAGAAAGGATTATTTGGACAATATAAAAATACAGTATTACATCAAAGTGAAAGTATAGTCCAAAATATAAAATGGAAAGGACAATTTTTAGCCTGGGCTACAGATAAGCATTTGAGAATATATGATATTGTTGCATTTAAAATTATTGCTTTAATTAAAAGAGATCAAGATTCCATACTTTGGGATAAGCCATGCAGATGTAATTTATTCTGGAAAGATAATTTGACTCTTCTTGTTGGTTGGGGCGATTATGTAAAATTGTGTGTTATTAGGCAACGCATTGAATTAGGAACTGTTTCAAATCAATCACTTCCCAATCACATAGTTGAAATAATTTCAATATTCACTATAAATTATCAAATTTGTGGAATTGCTCCCTTCAATGAAGATGATGAAAACAATATTGTTGTGTTAACTGTTCCAAAAAATAACAAAGGCACAGGTTTTGCTGATAAACCAAAATTACAAGTTTTAGAACCACATAGAGAAAGCTGTAGTGAAGTTTCAATTGATATACTAATGCCTATTCAACTATATACAGAATATAGATGTAATGACTACTTTCTGGATGGTTTACCAGAAGAAAAGAGGTATATTATTGGAAGTCCCAAAGATATTGTTATAGCCAAACCTCGAGATGAAAGTGACCATATTGAATGGTTACTGAAACAAGAAAAATTTGAAGAGGCTTTAAAAGTTGTTACTGAGAGTAAAACAGTTGGTAGATTTACAGTATTAGATGTTGGAAGGAGATGTTTAAATCATCTCTTTAAGCAGCAGTTATATGCTGATGCTGCTGCATTGTGTCCAACTATTCTTGGAAATAATAAAGAAGCTTGGGAGGAAGAAGTCCATAAATTTAAAGTTATAAATCAGTGTAGAGCTATTGCTCCTTATCTTCCTACTGATGAGAAAAATCATCTGAAGGCTAGTGTATATGAATTAGTTTTGGATGAGTTTATTACTTATGATTCTGCAGGTTTTCTTAAATTGATAAAAACATGGCCTTATACCTTGTATGAAATAAAAAACATCATTAATGCAGTTCATTATAAATTGGAATCTGATCCGCATAATAACAATCTTCTTCGAAGTTTAAGTGAATTATACATTTATGAGAAAAAATATGATAAAGCACTAGCCATTTATTTGACAATAGGTGAAGATAGAGTATTTGAAGTGATTAGAGATTTTAATATGTTTAGTGCTATACTTGATAAATTAGAACAGTTATTAAAATTGAACTGTGAAAAGGCAACCCAGTTGCTGTTAGATAATATGGATAAAATTCCCATTGATGTTGTTGTGTCCAAACTGAAAGATCAAAGTCTATTTCTATACAAATATCTAGATAAACTTTTTGTTAAAAATAAAGAATTTGGAGAAAAACATCATGGATTATTAGTAAAATTATATGCAGAACATGATCAAGATCGTCTCTTAACATTTTTAAAGAGTTCAAATAATTATCCACTCGAAGAAGCTTTAGAAATCTGTCAGCAACGTAAATTTATAGAAGAGGAGATATTTTTATTAGGTCGTATGGGCAATACTAAAGAGGCACTCAAACAAATAACACAAGAATTGAAAGATATAAAGAAAGCTGTAGAATTCTGTAAAGATCATGATGACAAAGAACTGTGGGAAGATCTTATTAAGTATTCTTTGGACAAACCACAGTTTATTAAATATCTATTAGAGAATATTGGAACACATGTTGATCCAATTATGCTAATAAAAGAAATTGAAAATGATTTACAAATTGAAGGTTTACAAGATTCATTAGTAAAAATATTACAGGATTATCATCTACAAGTTTCACTTAGAGAAGGATGTAATAAAATTCTTGTCTCTGACTGTTATAGCTTATTAGAAAAACTGAACCTACAGCAGAAGAGGGGTATTCGAATTGATGAAGATCAAATATGTCAGGCTTGCCATCATAGATTACTAATTACTCACACGCAATATGCTGAAGATATTCTTATTTTTTATTGTAAACATGCTTTTCATAAAGGGTGTCTTTCTTCAGATGGGATGAAAATTTGCAGCATATGTAATGCTCAGAAACAATTTAATAAGTGACAGTTTTTTAATATATTTATGAAAATAATAATAATTTGTTAATCTGAATAAATATTAAATCATTAAAAGCAATGACTAAAAATATTAAGAATAAAACTTTAAATTTATTATTTATGTATTTGTTCTTAAATGAATCTATTTAATACAACTTGTCTATGGCATCTTCATATGAGATTTTAAGTTGCTGCTTGTAATTGAATTTTTTGGAATACACAAGATATACAAATGTGCCTTTTTTTCCATCTCTTCAGACTCATAAATAAATTTCAAGAGTAATAAATTAATTATTTCAATATGAAATTGTATATAAATACTACCATGAGTAATCTGTTAAAAAAAATATAGGAATTTAATAAACATTTAATTTTATTAATTCAATACAGTAGAGCCTCGAAAATTCGGCCTAATGTGGACTGAAGGGTGGCCGAGTTTGTGAAAATGCCGGGTTATTGGGAATGGGGTTAAAAAAATATAAGTATGCGTGTTTCCTCAGAAAATATTGTACTGTACTTGTATGTATTGTTTGCTTGAGAATACAACAGAGAATAAACTGCCCAAATACCCTTAAACAAAGGAAAAGTACGTCCTTTATGAAGGCATAGAAAATGAAAATTAATGAATACACTGTGTACAGTAATTTACCTGATAAGACAGACCTCAGAAAAATACTTTATGAGGCATAAAGCAGTCTATGATAAAAATTAATTATCTAAGGGTATTTTTGCCCTGCCAAGGTGTGGCCGAGTTATTCGGAGTGCCGAGTTTTCGAGGCTCTACTGCATTTACAGATTTAATTAATATGCATATATTGCTTCTAACATGCACCAAATTTTTTTTATATGTAACAAACTAATATAGAATCTTCATTTCAAAGTGCTCCAATCTTTCATTACATTTTACTCACTCTTGTTTAATTGGATATCATTAAATGGAAGTAGATGAAAAGACACAATGAAATGTTGCTAATGGTTTAATATGTTAATGTAATTTTATCTCATAATCTCAAAATATTGTGAAGCCAAATTTTTCATATTTATTAAATAAATCAGCTAAATACAAGCATATACACTTGTAAACAAATTTTTGCCAAAATACAGCAAAATTTATGGGTGGAAATAACAAAAAGGGATAGTACAATGATTACTTCTCTTATTATTATTAAAATTTAAATATTTTATCTTTTTTTTTCTGCCCAGTGGCATTAAGAGGGCCTTTTAAATCATTCATCCCAGATTCAGCCAGACCCAAAATGGGAAGCCAAGTGGTTAGGAATGGGCCCAAGATATCCAGATTACCTACAGAAAAGTTTTTAGAAGTTGCTTGCCCAGATTCGATTCCGGGTCTCCAGAGCAATGATTAACACGTTAACTGTTTTAGCCATCCAGTAATCTTGTAGGTCTTCTATTTTGTGATGAACTTCTTTAAGGATTGACACCATTAATATTAATCTATTCATAATCCTTCGTCCAATCCTTGAGTTATCATCCAGAGACACCAGTTTGAAGAACCTTGAGAGTTACGAGTAGATAAAGCTAGTTAGTTGATATGCAACTTAGTTGATATGCAACTTAGTTTCATGGTAAGCCTGTGATCTTAAGTCCTGTCCAACTTTGGTTGTCGTTTTCGAATTTCTAACGACCTTCATGACTGGCACTAACGAACTGTCCCTATTATACTTCACTCCATCTCCATTGTGCAATCCTTGACGTTATCCAAATCTCACTATTTGGAGGTATTGGGTAGATATGAAGACCCTAGATAACAGTTTGTTAATTAAATAAGAAAAACTTAATTTCAGATTGACAACTTTTTTCTGAAAGCCAATGTTTGCTAGACTTTACCGGCATTTTTGTTGTTTCATCCCTAATAATTACTATCATTACCTTTAGACAATGGTGTTTTGTAAAAAAAAATACAGAACGCTCGCAGTAAGGAGCAAAAACAAAATCCCGGGGCGTCTGATCATCCTAGTTATAAAGCACCTTTATCAATTCAATTTTCACTAAGATATATTTGAATATAGGCTTGTAATCAAAGTAATTTAATTTCTTTTTGCCAAACCCAATTTCAATATCAACTGGTCATTTGCTTGATTTCAAAACTCTAAATTCGTTTACAATATTTTTTCAGACAAAGAAACATAGATATATAATCTGCGAAGAATAGACGGTAACGTCGTTGAGTTTACTCGTTGAAAGTTGGATTTAACGTGATGCTATTCCCATTAAAGTTCATAATGTGCCATACTTATGTAAAAACTTACCTATTAAAATAACTTCACCACAAAAACGAAAAATAGTAATAAAATTTGAATCATTACAACACAAGCCAGTTAAATTACCACATGTTAATACAAAAGATAAACTTTCCGATGACATTTATAAAACACAGAATTTATATATTTGATTGATTTTGTTTATTATTTAGTAACTGAATCATCACATGGAAACACGTGAAATGCAATTAGATTCTTGTGTGGACAGAGCAGTTCGTCAAGAGGAAATTCTCAAGCAACAATCTTTAATGAGTATGTTTATCGAAAAGTATATTGAGACATAAAATAAAACGAAAAAAATTAATTGCTAATAGCGCTCCTGTTACTCTAGAATACAGTAATAGGAGAGACCCATATCAGATAAAAAGAGTTAAAAGGCTGAAGAAAGGTAGTCTGATGTGAGGTGCTGAATTGTGAACTCCAAGTCAGGACGGAAGTAAGGTAGAGATTCGTTTGTGAGTGTGACAGATACCGAGGCAGACTCGAAGGCAAAGGCCGAGCCTAGAGGTATTATCACTTGTGGCAGGAGAATAAATTTTCTTTCCTATGTATATTGTTTTTTATTTCAATATAAATATTAAATAAAAATAAATAAATTATCTTAGAAACAAAACAAATTTATTAAGTATTACATTAAAAAAATTTAGCAACGAGTTGCGTAACTTTCCCTGCTTTTATGAGATTTTATTTTAAAAACTAGCAGATGAACCTGGCGTTGTTCGGGTAAAAGTAACAATAGCAAAGATTAACATTATTAGATTATAGCTGATCTTACCCGTTTTCATCGGGTGCAAGAATTAGACCCCCCCCCTCTTTCGAAAATTTTTACATAGGTCTAAAAATATGTTCGAATTTCCGCAAAAATGCAAAAAACTACATCTAAAATAGCACATTAGAAGCCGATTTCTTAAGGATAATCCTTAACTTTCTTCCCCCCGCGGGGGATTTCCAAAAATCCCTTCTTAGTGTGCATTCTCATGACCTACCCTAGCTCTGTACCAAATTTCAACTTTCAACTCCTAATCGTTTGGGCTCTGCACTTATTTTTTATTATTATTTGAAGATAAGTTCGCCCAAATAGGGATTCACATTTCATACACCATTCAGTATGAAATGTGAATCCCTATTTGGGCGAACTTGTCTTCAAATAATAATAAAAAATAAAAAGAACCATCGGACGAAAAATTACGAACTCTGCACTTATTATTATCAATCCATCTCTTTTATATATATAGAGTAGTAAAATGCAAATCTCGATATACAGCCCCAACAATAAATTAAAAATGTTAAATATATAATTATTAGTGTTGTAACGAATAGTATATTCGGCCAAACTATTCGGCTCGATTAACGCACGTACGAAAATTGGCGCGCAAGCCGCATTATGGCAAGGATCCTGCTCTCCATTGGCCCGCTGTCACTATGCTTCGCCAATCGCGTTAATTCTTGGCAGTTGTAGCGGACAGACAACAGTGTCATGGAAGTATATGATAAATGATGATATCAAATGTGGATAACAATGAAATGACCTATACGTGTAAATAATGGAGAAAGAACAGAGAAGGACCGCGAAGTGAAAATGTGAAAATAAATATGAAATTGAGTCGATAACATAATCGAACAAGTCGAGGCAGCTTATTGGCACGAAATTCGCGGCCGTCAATGCCAAACAATTGTTGTCATAGACTTCGGAAAGCTAAATGCTTGTAATGAAAGTCACTTAGCGTGCACGGGCGAAAGCCTGGGGCCGTTCGGGCTATCAAGCTGTCTCGAATCTGTGAAATCATAACTGTGACTTATATCGACGTCCTATCTGTCTCTTTTCTCCGTTATCACCAGGCTGAGTCACGTAATTGTAAAATGGGAACTCTACGACGGAAAAGTGACGAATCGAAAGTATCGTGAGCGCGTATTATGATGTATGCACAGGCATACATGGATTAGAGCGATAGAGGAAAGAGAAAGGGAAGAGCAAAGACGAGCGCTTAAAAAGAAGGATAGGCAGGGTCAGACCCTCAGATGTGCGAGGATTCTCCAACGATAGACGTGTACGTGTGCTGATCTTTGTAATTATAAATTGTGAATGCATGGGACTAATATTAATTTCTTTTTTATTTTGTGCATGTTACAAGTTATAAATAAATATAAACAAACAACAATAACTCGATAACATTAAATCTAAATACCAAAACGATTAATTTACTGTGTTTGTGTTATTTATTACTCCTGTTTTTAGGTATTCGGTATTCGGCCGAATAGTGAAAAATAGGCCGAATACCGAATATTAACCGAATATTCGTTACATCACTAATAATTATAAATAATTTTTTATTTAATTCATTATCTTGTTACAATGCCAAATGCAGAAAAGAAAAGTGATTTTTTTCGTCTTCTCTGTATTTCCTGTAGCCTATGTTACATCTAAGATATTGGATGGTTTAAGAAGCTTTTTTTTAAGAAATTAATATTCTTAGAGCTAAAGAACATTTTCAAAACTAAAACATAAAAAAATTCAATTATATCTTCAAATTATTCTGCCGGGTGATGTTAGTCACAGAATATAAATTCTGCACGAAGCCACGGAACCATCGTCAAGGTCTCACCCTCCTCCGTGGGTTTTTTGTTTGTCCAGAAACCCCGTAATGACTAGGCAGCATCGCCATTACGGGAAAAACTGGAATCACCGCATTTACAAATACAAATATTGTTGATATATTCGAAATCGTCTCGGAAATTCTGTATTCATACATTTAGAATGTTATGGAACTGGAACTGGAATTGGCACACAAGTGAGGAAAACAGTATGAGAGTTTTATC